TATATATATATAGGTGCTCAGTAAGAGTCCAATTTTGTCCTGTTATGCAGCAGCAAAAACGAATGTCATATTAACAACTTCACTGTTCTTCAGCCTGTTTATTGAAGAGTAATGAATAAACACAAACCTATTATTTCTTCAGTCTCTTCCTGTTTAATTCTGCAGGGTTCTGGATCACTCATCTTCTCACTGTCCTTCAATAAACCCTGTCTTTGTCTTTAACTGATGGCGGCAGAGCTTCAGGAGAATAAACAGAGTATGAAGATTAGAGTAGATTATGTAATTTCCTTAACCTCCTAGGGCTTGAGTGTCCACAGCCCATTTCAGCTCTTAAGTGGCTGTTTAAAATACTTTGAATGTTTATATTTTGTTACAGACATACAGTGTCATCTTATAACTGTTTTGCAGCATATGAAAAGTCCCAAACACTACTTTTAACTGTCCAAAATGGAGAATTTTTTTTTTGTTTTTACTCTCTAATAGTCAAAGCAAGTAAAAAAAATCTATGTTAAATATGCATACAATTTTTTGGGGGAAATTGGGAACACAAGTTCACATATATGGACATCATTTTTTCTTTCTTTCTTTCTATTATTTCTAAAAGTACATCATATTAAAAGATGATACTTAGATTTGTATTCTAATAAGGTTCCAATAAGCCTATATATATATATATATATATATATAAATAATGCATGTAAAAAACATCTTGGGCCTTAAGAGCATAAGTCAGGTGACACTATTATTTTTCAATTAACAGTAATATATAGTATTGGTATTTATACCAATAAAGCAATTACGAGTGCTAGCACTCATGTCTATGTACAGTTTAACAACATAAATGGACTTAAGCAGTTTTAATTTACTAGAACTTCTATGTTAAGCTGTTTTGACACTATCTACATTGTTGAAAGATTAATTGAAATTAATGGAAAACATATGGGAAATCACACAAAAAACGTTGAAAAATTAAGATTAAAATGACCACAAACTATTTATTTTATGTTTTCTGCATCAAACGTATTATATCTGACACAGTTTAATCCTCATTATTTCCCTTCACGGATCATACTTGACGATATTACGAACACAAACACAGTAAAACCCAAACACTGAGCTGATTTTGTCCTCTCAGAGCTGCTCTTTGCCTGCTGTATTGTTTTGGTCAGCAGACACACAGATAGAGGTGAACTCAATGCAGAAACTAGTCGCAGATTGTCGCTTTAATAAACTGTAAAGTGTGTTTTATTGTTGTGTAAACACGAGAAAAAGCGAAAACGACTCACCTCAGCTCTGAAGACTCGACGCTGAATGAACGCGTCAGCGCTGACGTCATCACGGCGAGGCGGGAGCAACGGAGGATCAATAAAAGCAAAATAACCAACAAATAAATAAAAAGGATCGTTAAAAAACGCGCTAATTAAAACACAGCTGAAAGATTAAACAGACGCTAATGTAGACAAAAGCATTTTTATCAATCATGTATGAAGAAAAACGTTTATTTAGGTACTTAAAACGTTAAAATTCCCTCAACACATGTAATAAGCCTACTTAATGGCTAACAGACATGCCTAAACTGATCTGTTCCTGAAGTTACAAAAATGAGTTTTTAATAAAATTTAAGGATTAGTAAAATTGTTTCCCAGTGCTGGGTTGCAGCTGGAAGGGCATCCGCTGCGTAAAACATATGATGAATAAGTAGACAGTTCATTCCGCTGTGGCAACCCCTGATTAATAAATGGACTAAGCCGAAAAAAAAATTAATTAATAATACAATTATTTTTAAAAACAGCAAACATATTGTATATCATCTATAATTGAAAGTGTACAGCTTTTCATTCCTGATCAGGTACATATTGTAGACGATGATAAAAAATGATCATACTATATTGACTGGGTTACCAGTTACTGGGCTGTTTAACTCTGACATCAGGTGTTTGTGAATGTAGAGCAGTGGTCACCAAACTTGTTCCTGATGGGACGGTGTCCTGCAGATTTTAGCTCCAACCCTAATCAAACACACCTGAACAAGCTAATCAAGGTCTTACTAGGTATACTTGAAACATCCAGTCAGGTGTGTTGAGGAGGTTGGAGCTAAACCCTGCAGGGACACCGGCCCTTCAGGACAGAGAATGGTGACCCCTGATGTAGAGTTTTCAGGAAGGTAAATTTCAAAAATGTAGATCAGGGGGTGCCCAGACTCGATCCTGGAGGGCCGGTGTCCTGCATATTTTAGTTCCAACCCCATTTAAACACACTTGAACCAGCTAATCAAGCCCTTTCCAGGTATACTAGAAACTTCCAGTCAGGTGTGTTGAAGGAGGTTAGAGCTAAACTATACAGGACACCGGCCCTCCAGGACCGAGTTTGGACACCCCATATGTAGATAATGTAATGTATTTTGTATTTAATGCCATGTCAGCAACCAATGACAGGAACAATTCAATAATAAGTGAAGTTTAAATTTCGAGAGCATGTGCTCATGATTGACCCAGCTGTTCCACATTAGCTAATCATGATCCTCCAATCAAAGGATCCCAAGTCACTATATAGATCCTCATTTCCTTTCTACAACTATTTTTGTCTGGAGGAAACCCCCCTTCACCCCTTCTTCCACCTTTATCCAGAATGGGCAGCACAGTTGCCCACAGCAAGAATACCAATGGTGTTGGGTCCTCGTTGGACCATCTGGTATTTCTGTACGTAGTTTGCATGTTCTCCTGTGTCCATGTGGGTTTCCCCCGGGTTCCTCCCACCATCCAAATGTGCTCTATATTATAGATAAAAGTAATCCTAAATCTTTTTTCTATTGTCATAAGCCTGGTTTATACTTCTGCGTCAAGTGACCGGCATAACTCACGGCGCAGGCAACGCGCGCAGCTGTGCATTTATACTTCTGCGCGCTGTCTCTGTTGGTCTACATTAACACTTCCGTAACGCTAGTTGGCAGTGAGGTGTAAATGTTCCTCTGTGTCGACTTTCTTCGCTGGTGTTTTGCTTTTCCTGAACACTTCCTGGATGTACAAGTGACTCAAACTCGCTCATTTTGAGGCAGGAACCGGCGGACGTGCAACAACTTTAACTATGAGGTAAACACAAAACAAAACTTTCCATCCGGAGCTCCCTCACGGGACTCCACACTTGTAAACAATCGCTCCATCAGGCTCGCACCAATCGCACAGCTCTCTGTCCCGCCCAGACTCGTCAGCGCTACCAAGCCGACCAATCACAGAGCTTGCGCTACGTGTTTTTGTGACGTGTAGTTACATTTTTTGAGAGGTGCACGTCAGTGACGCCGACGGCCATGGCGAAGGGCTATGCGTCAGCGCAGTAGCATACGCCGGCGTTTGACGCAGAAGTATAAATCAGCCTTTGCTCTCAAGAAGTTCGCCTTTGCTTAAGTAGCAGGGAATTTTGAGATCAACCTGGCTCAATCTCCCCTCACCCTGCGAAGGGGGGGAAGCCCTTGGCTCGAGGATCCCTTGAGCTCAGGGCTCTCTCCCATGACAGCACGCCAAACAAGCTACGTATAAATCGTGAGCTAAGTGCGAACTCTTGAAATATACAATTAAAAAATCAACAAACAAATGAATATGTTGATTAAATAAGATGTTTAGTGTTCATACATGACAAAAACGTAAAAATAAATAAATAAAGCTGATGTCACTTCGCTAAAAATGTCCTAAGAGAGTTAATTTCATAAAAACAAGTCTTCTTGAGTCAATAAAAGCAGGACCTGATGTGTAAAACTCTCTGTTAAAGCACACAAATGAAGCTTTTCCTTTGTATGAACTCTAAGGGTGCTTTCACACCTACACTTTTGTTTCAGAACGTATCTGGTTTGCCCAGTTAGCGCGGTTCGTTTGGCATATGTGAACAGGGCAATCGCGCTCTGTTCCGCGCCAAAGTAATCGCTCCGAGATCGCTTGAATGAGGTGGTCTAGGCTCGATTGAAACGAACCCTGGAGCGGTTCGATTGCAGTGAGAAAGCGATCCGATTCAAGCGCGGTTATATCACAGTGTTTTATGGATATGTAATAGGCTTACGGCTATATGAAGAGAGAATTATGAGTATGGCGGGAAGTTTCGCGAGTCTCCGGATGCCCGTAAACGAGTGATCCCTCCCGGTCCTCAAATAGGCATTGTCGCGCACCCTTCTCACCCCTCCCCACCGCGTCTCTCCTCAGACACGTCGCGCGCGCACCCTGTCAATCACCACCAAACCACCACCTCTCCTGACAGCTGAGCGGGACACTGCAAAATAAACCCTGACACTCTGACCAATGTGAGGAGAGTTTCCCCGCACGTGACTTGTTTTAGCTCTTTTGGTCCGATTAGAAACTTTGCAGTGTGAAAGCGAACCGCTCCAGGAGCAAAGAGCAACAATGTAACAATTTTAATCTCTGTTTCAGAACTACTGAATAGATTCACAGGTGTGAAAGCACCCTAAGATGTTTCTTCAGCTCTGAAGGCCTCAAAAATGTTTTTTTGATTGTTTTATTTGTGGTTTTTCTCTCTAGTGTGGATCAGCACGTGTTTATTAAGGGTTGATAATTGAGTGAAACCTTTCCCACACTGAGTACAAGTGTACGGTTTCTCCCCGGTGTGATCTCTCTCATGTATTTTCAGGTGTCCTGAAACTCTGAATGTTCTGTCGCAGTGTGAACACTTGTACGGTTTCTCTCCAGTGTGGGTCCTCTGGTGTCGTCTCAAGTCTCCAGCTTGAATAAAAGTCTTCCCACACTCAGAACACACAAAGTCCCTCACACCAGTGTGGATCTTCTGATGGCTTTTTAAATGTGACAGCAGTTTAAAACTCTTTCCACACTCAGAGCATGAATACGGCCTCTCGTTTGTGTGAAGTCGAAAGTGGTTCGTCAGCTCTGAAGGCCTCAAAAATGTTTTGTCGCACTGAGCACATTTGTGTGGTTTATTTCCACTGTGAGTCATTTTGTGATTTTTTAGAGTACCAGTCAGTCTGAATCTCTTGTCGCAGTGCGAACACTTGTACGGTTTCTCTCCGGTGTGAATCCTCTGGTGCCGTTTCAATAGATGAGATGTAGTAAAGGTCTTCTTACACTCAGAGCACACAAACTCTTTTACGCCAGTGTGGATCTTCTGATGTGTGTTTAAATTTGACCAATTTCTAAAACTCTTCCCACACTCAGAGCACGGATAAGGCCTCTCGTTTGTATGAACTCTGAGATGGCTCCTCAGCTCTGAAGGCCTCAAAAATGTTTTGCCGCACTGATCACATCTGTGTGTTTTCTCTCCTGTGTGGATCAGCAGATGTGCATTCAGGTTTCCTAAATGATTGAATCTCTTGTCGCAGTGTGAACACTTGAAGGGTTTTTCTCCAGTGTGGATCCTCATGTGACGATTGAGATCATATTTAGAGGTTAAACTCTTTCCACACTGAGTGCAGGTGAAACATTTCACAGCTGTTCTTTCCACCGAAATACTATCTTCAGTCTCTGATTGAGTTTCTTCTTCCCTCTTGACATGATGTTTCTTCTCATCTTCACTCAGTTCTTCACTCTCCTCCTTCACCTTCACATCTGAAAATTAATAAGTCACATGTTAAGAGTTAAGTTTTTTATCCGTACAGTCAAATGATCATTAATAAGAGCATTAATATGTTTAACCGAGATGTGTAAGTGGTCAAATAGGTTTGCACCTAGATGTGCGACGATAACCGTTTTTAAGGTATACCGTGGTTTGGAAAAGTCAAGGTTTTACAACCACCAAAATTTTCTGTAACACCGTTTCTAAAGCCTCCTTTTCACTGCACATGACAAACGACAGACCGGAAGTCATTCATTTCCAATGGAGAGCAGTCCGGGAGTTGCGTTGAGTTCCGATCATCTCCGTATGTGGAAAATTCGGATCCGAATTGAGTTGCGGATCCGTTGAAATATTTGAACTCCTGCAACTAGACCATATGCGACCTGCCGACTAGATATGATGTATTCCAGTGTTGTACAAGCAGGTCTGTGCGCGAGAGATGTGAAATAGGAATTTATTTGGTTATTTTTTAATTATAAAAAGTCTATATTAAAAAAAAACTTTTCTGTTCATAAATGTAAGTAAGAAAGTAATAAAAATATATATTTTTAATGTTGTCTTTTAATGCGGTCTATGAGTTTCCAGTATTCATTCAACCATGTAAACGCACAGAGAATAAAGGCTCTTGGTTTTGCACTCCTTTATTTCGGACACCAGCTTCAATCAGCTTCTCCCCCGTGGTGCACGACAACACTGAAAATACTGTACAGCTGCCACAAGGGGGCGTATTCCGACAGTCGCATCCTAATGTCGTGTGCAGTGGAAAGGCGGCTTAAGGTATGTGTAAGAACAGTATCTCCAGCAGTAAAAATATCCAAAGATGCCGTTTTAAATTGTAAAGAAATCTGTGTTTTTGAAACAATTGAAGACAGCAGAAGTCAATTAATCATTTAGCCTGACATGCTCACTGCTCCAAACTATCATAAATCTTTAAAAAAAATAAATTATATTGTTTTCAAAGGGGAAAAAAAGTTTTAGTTTTTTTAAACCCAGACATTTAAAAAGAACATATTTTAGAGCAGTGATCACAATATCATGATATTTTTATCCAAGTTTATCATACTGTCTAAATCTTGTGCCGGCCCATGCCTTTTTGCACCTTGGCTTTTATAGGCATGACACATTTAAAGACTCTCACTAGGCATGGTTGCCTTGAACCAAGACTGGGGACAATTGTCACAATTGGCAGACACCATTATTGAAGAGTATTGAATAAACACAAACCTATTAGTTCTTCAGTCTCTTCCTGTTTAATTCTGCAGGGTTCTGGATTACTCATCTTCAATAAACTCTGTCTTTGTCTTTCACTGATGGTGGCAGAGCTTCAGGAGAAGAAACAGAGAAATCTGATTCATTTGCACTGATAGAGGACATAAAACTTTATGATGTTATATCTTGTTATACAATATGGGATTTCCAGTCAGGTGACACTACTGCAATTAATTAAAAAAACTGCTTTGCATTCATACTAATGTAAAGTATGTATACCAATAAAGCAATTAGATTGCTAGCACTCACATGTCTATGTATAGTTTAACAACATAACTGGACTGAAGCAGTTTTAATTGACTAGAACTTCTTCTTGTGAAAGCGCTGTAGAAACAAAGATGAATTGAAATGAATGGAAAACACGTGAAAACCAACAAATAAAGCGTTGGAAAATTAAGTATCCCACAAAACTATTTATTTGATGTTTTCTGCATCAAACTTAATATATCTGCCACAGTATAATCCCCATTATTTTCCTTCACAGATCATACTCGACGAATACAAACACAGTAAAACTCAAACACATTCACTCATATTGTCCTCTCAGAGCTCCTCTCTGCCTGCTGTACACACAGATAGAGGTGAACTCAATGCAGAAACTAGTCGCAGATTGTCGCTTTAATAAACTGTAAAGTGTGTTTTATTGTTGTGTAAACACGAGAAAAAGCGTCAACGACTCACCTCAGCTCTGAAGACTCGACGCTGGATGAACGCGTCAGTGCTGACGTCATCACGGTGAGGCGGGAGCAACTGGAGCAACTGACGTGCCAAAAAAACAAAAAACTAATGTTTTAATGTTAAAATGAACTCAAATGTAAAAACCTATCATCATAAGCATATACTTCACAGCTAACAGACATAACAGAAATTATCTATTCCTGAAGTAACTAAAATTAGTTTTTAATCGAATGTAAGAGTATAAAATCATTTAAAAAATATCAGCAAAAAAATAATAATAAAAACACAAACGTATCATCTATTATCTCTCCTAATCAGGCACGATTTGTACATGTTGAAAAAGTTGATAAAACATTAACAGCTTAACAAATAACAGAATTACAGGCGATGAACATTCATATGAAAATGTAACGTTATACAAATAAAAGAGTTGTAATATATGAATTGTAATGCAAATACTTAAAAACTTTTGTATATAGGAAGCATTTTAGACTAGGCCCACCCGGAATCTGTGCGTGCAGAATTCGGCAGATTTTTAGCCCAACATTAATTTTATCTGCTTGAGTAAATGTGTGTAAATCTATATTTATTCAGTTTTTAAATTAATCACAGTAATATTATTGACTAATATGAAAATGTTCATCTGATTTATGTACAATGAAGTGTGTACTGTGTTATTTTCTGATATATTTTATGACAAACTTGCTTTATTTGCCAAATAAAGTGAATCTTATTGTATTTGCATTTTACACATTAAATAAAAGTTAAAAATATATAATTTTTATTTTATATATTAAGGTTTTAGTTATGATACTCCCAAAATAATTCCGCAGATTTTTACCAAAATTCACCACAGAAATAGCAAAAAAAACGTCCGCAGATTTCATCTGGCCATATCTATGGCCAATTTAGCTTATTCAATTCACCTGTACTGTGTCTTTAGACTGTGGGGGAAAGTGGATAATTTTGGATAGTTTTCCTATTTGTTGGTTTGCTTTACATTTGTAATAGTTTTAAAAGCACGTATGTTATTTAAGTTTGCCTACAGATTATTATCATATTTGTATAAATGTGTCCCACTCATGTGTAAACCCACCAGTCCTACACCACCAAACCCGCTCCGAGCTGGTATCGAACCGGCGACTTTCCGCATGGGAGTCGATTGCTCTACCGAGGAGGCTAAACATAATGGCCTATAACAACAGTCGCTAAAGCACTTTTAGAGGTCAGAGGAGTGAGGTGTACCTGGACAGCACTTACTAGCTGGCCCCAATTACACATGCAAACAACTTGCTTTGAGTGACTACCACTAGCTATGGATGTCAATTTCAAATCCTATATTCTTTTTCATAGAAAACAGAAACGAGGCAAGAGGGAAAATCTGATCAAATGCATGAAGGTGCATATTACGCCCCAAGTCTAGGGGAAACAAAAAGGGCATAATAAACAAAGAACAAACAAATGTGTTGGGGTGGTGGATTTCCCAAACTAAACAAAACTTAAAGCAAAAGATTCCCTTTGGTCGACAACCAAACTCACACACTCAATTGAGAGTTTATATGAAGATATTTATTATAGAAAAGTAGGGTTTATATAAATGAGCATTTCGTCAGGGTGACCACAGGCCAAAATAACAAACAAAAGAATCTATAAAATAAATCCACTAAATTACCTATTACTATTTAAAGAAACATACAAGAATCTTACCTGACTCCCTAATATAAACAAAGTCAAAAGTAATCAAATAAATAGGCAGGTCACCCCTACACGCTCAAACTCTCAATAAATATTCAAGCATAGGATGGTCATCAATACAAAGGTGATTATTGTTGGTCGTCGGCCGAAGGGGTGAGGGAAACCCAGGAGCTCCACTCCAAACACCGAACGCAGCAGAAATGAGCTCTCCGATTCCTGCCGGAAGCTCCGTTTTATACAGGCCTTGTAGACCAGCAGCCAATCAGAGCAGGGAATCACGCCAGCGTGGGAGCCTATAAGACATCAGAAAAACAGCAAGGAGGCGGGACAAAATAAAAAGGAGTACAATCCGCAATAATAATAAAAATAAAATAAACTTCAGTCGTAACAGTGCAGTATGGAGAGTACAATATACTTTATTGTCACGAAGTACAGTGAAAAGCAGCCCATACAGTCACATATAGTGTTATAAATTAAGAATGGCAATAACTGAATATAAAAAAACATGTTCAAATACACATAATAAAATCGATGGTATGCACAAAACAACTTCAGTCAAAGCAATTGCAATATGACGATTTGTGTAGAGTGATGTATAAAAATGACATGAGAAGTGTAAATACTGCAGTTATGACCTACAGTTAAACGTTAAATGTGTTCAGCTGAAGAAAAAATACATTGAAATATCAGTAGACTTATGGTGAAATAAAACATTCACATTCAAATGTCAGTAAACAATTATACATACTTTACACACTTACACATTTATATTACGAAGAACAGGCAAGAGTCAGACTGCACTACGGTCCAGTATCTTCAGAAAACGGTTTTATTAAAAAAAAAAAACGTTCAACAAATGAATCTGTCATGACGGTCTCTACAAGTGAAGGCATTATCTACACACAAATATACCCAACAAACAACTCCAAATGCCCAACATAAGCTGTAAAAGCGGGCTTCCAGACGTATGATGAGTCTGACATAACATGTTGCTTAATGGGACTACAGGATAGCAACCGTCTTTTTTAAAGAGGTGTAACCGTAACCATGACAGTATCTCGACTCTTGAGTTTGTGTTTGCCCAAACCTTATTTAAGCAATTTAACCAAAATACTGTTAAAAATCATTGATTCTTGGACGAGGGAACCAGAACTGCTAAAATGCTGACTTGTTAATCGTTTTTTTGCATAAAGATTAATGTCATAGTTCCTTCAGTCACAGGTTACTGCTAAACCAGCGCATAGTGTGATAGATAAAGGATGGAAAATACCAGAATGTTCTGTTTAATTAATACTAAAGCACTTCTGAAAAAGTCCCTGCTGTTGTGTGTATGTGTCTGTGCAGGATTGGGCAAGCTAACCTGTTGAGAGCTGTTCTGCCAGACAACTGGTAAGTGGACAGCTGCCAATGAAGGGGAAATACAAACGAAGAGAGATTAGGGTACTTTCACACCTGCCTTATTTAGTTGGATTGAATCGCACTAGAGTTCGTCTTCCCTCTTGGTGCGGTTGGTTTGGGCAGGTGTGATTGCAGCAATCGTAGTCGAGTGCGCACCAAAAAAGTGTACCGAGACCTGCTTGAAGAGGTGGTCTCGGTACGCTTTCAAATGAACCCTGGAGCGGTTTGTTTGTGGTTAGAATATGATTCGTACTAAAACAGGCCCAACCGCAAAAAGTACTGCGCCTTTTGGACTGATCCAGCTGCCGTAGGCCGATGCGCTGTGCATTATGGGATATGGAGGTAAAATATTTGTTGACAGCGCTTTACCAACAGAGAGAAAAAGAGAGTGAAGACATTACCTGATGGATCAATGGTAATATTTCCGCAAGATGACCATGTCGCAGTTTAGCTAAATTAAATCACGTCTCCTTCTGAAGTGACGAGTGATGCATTTAAACACTATTATCCAGCCGCTCTTTATTCTCGAAATGTATAGTTTGTCTAAAGCAGGGATACAATCAGCCGGCACAGTTGTAGCTCCATAGCCAAAAGCGTAATTTTGTGTCTGCCGGTTTGTTTACCTGCCGGAGTTCATTGGCAATTTCCCGCACGTGAATTCAGACCAATCATTAAGCAGTTTAGGAAATATGTTCAACAACATCTGGCCAATGAGAGATGTGGATTTTGTCAGATGACTGCATTTTGGTTATTTTCAAAAGGTTCAGACTAAAGCCAGCTGTGCGGTGTGAAAACGACCCAAAGACAGCAGAAAATGCAACAATGTATCATTTATTTCCCTTGGTCCGGACCAAATGAAGCGAACTAAAGATGTGAAAGCACCCTAATACTGGCTGCTAAGGCTTAGAAAGCAGCCGTGGAGCATAAGATTCATGCTGTAAAGAGTTTAGCCTCGCAGCTCAAACCTCTGTATGCTTTATCCATTCGACTAATTGAACATTTTAAACTAAATTTGAAGCCTCTGACTGATCATTGAATTTGGGGGACTAGGGGATGGTCCAATGCACATCAACCTGTTGTTGGAGACCCTAAAACCAAACAATTACCTTTAATAATGCATAACAGGGGCTCTTTAACTGAGAAATCTGGCGTTCGTGAATACAGAGTAGAGTTTTCAGGAAGGTACATTCTCTTGTGCTTTTTAAATTTGTGATTTGTCTCTCTAGTGTGGTTCAGCACATGTTTATTAAGGTTTGCTAATCGTGTGAAACTTTGCCCACACTGAGTACACGTGTACGGTTTCTCTCCAGTGTGAGTCCTCTCGTGCGTTTTCAGCAATCCTGATTGTCTGAAAGTTTTGTTGCAGTGTGAACACACGTACGGCTTCTCTCCAGTGTGGATCATCTGGTGTTTTTTTAAGCCTCCGTTTGTAATGAAACTCTTCCCACAGTCAAAGCAGACATACTCTCTCACACCAGTGTGGATCTTCAGATGGTCTTTTAGATGTGACTGCTGTGAAAAACTCTTCCCACACTCTGAACATGAATAAAGCCTCTCGTTTGTGTGAACTCTAAGGTGGATCCTCAGCTCTGAGGGCCTCAAAAATGTTTTGCCGCACTGATCACACTTGTGTTTTTTCTCTCCAATGTGGATCTTCTTGTGTTCATTAAGGCTTGATGTTTGTGTGAAACTCTTCCCACATTGAGTACATGTGTACGGTTTCTCTCCGGTGTGAATCATTTTGTGATGTTTAAGGGTACCAGACAGTCGGAATCTCTTGTTGCAGTGTGAACACTTGTACGGTTTCTCTCCAGTGTGAACCCTCTGGTGCTGTCTCAAGTATTTAGCTCTAGTAAAAGCCTTCCCACACTCAAAGCAGAAAAACTCTTTCACAGCAGTGTGGAGCTTCTGATGTTTTCTTAAACTTGACTGCGTTCTAAAACTCTTTCCACACTCAGAGCACGGATAAAGCTTCTCAATTGTATGAAGTCGAAGATGATTCTTCAGCCCTGAAGACCTTAAAAATGTTTTGCCGCATTGATCACATGTGTGTGTTTTCTCCCCAGTGTGGAGCAGCAGGTGTGTTTTGAGGTTTTCTGGACGATTGAATCTCATGTCGCAGTGTGAACACTTGTACGGTTTATCTCCAGTGTGAATCCTCTTGTGGGTTCTCAGGTTTCCTGAACGGTTGAATCTCTTCTCGCAGAGTGAACACTTGTAAGGTTTCTCTCCAGTGTGGATCCTCATGTGAATCTTCAGATTGTATTTAGAGCTTAATCTCTTTCCACACTGAGTGCAGGTGAAACCTTTAACAACTGTTTCTTCCATTGAAACACTTTGTTCAGTCTTATCTTCGGTTTTGGTTTCAGTCTTGACATGATGTTTCTCCTCATCTTCACTCAGTTCTTCGCTCTCCTCCTTCACAATCACATCTGAAAAGTGAATAAGTCACATTTTAAGAGTCTAGTGTTTATCCGTACAGTCAAATGTTCATGAATAAGAGTATTTGTGTTTGGATGAGATGTGTAAGAGCTCAAAAAGGTTTGCACCTTGGCTTTTCTAGACCTTACACATTTAAAGATGCACTCTCACTAGGCATGGTTGCCTTGAACTGAGACCGGGCACGATTATCACGATTGACAGACGCCATTTTCAAAAAGGTAACTGAGCAAGAAATGGATGTGTTTGTGGTTGGGTAGTTGATTTGGTAAGTATTAGCTTATTTCTAAGTTCATCATTTTCATCTGCTTATCCGGTGCCGTGTTGCGGGAGCAGCAGTCTTAGGAGAGAATCCCAGACTTCCCACTTCCCAGACACTTCTTCCAGCTCCTCCGGGAGGATCCCAAGACGTTCCCAGGCCAGCCGAGAGACATAGGCCGTACTCACACTAGGTACAGTTGCCTCGAACCGGGCCAAAGCACGCTTGTCCCCCCTCCCGTCTCCCCCGATGGCCCGCACTCACACCATATCGCGCCTGGGCACGCTTACGTCATCGCTGTTGTGCTGTTCAGTGAGAAGCGCTCTCTCACTCAGCAGCACAGTGGAGATTTCTCTAGATATATCGTTTCAGTCGTTTGTTATGCAGTGACATGCAGTCAAATATTTCACCAAACAGTCCTTAGGGATGCGGGGACACGCAGTCAGATATTTCGCAGAACAGATCCACCACTTTTGGCCCTCATAAACAATCATAAAGCTCTCGTGCTGCAGGAATGAGGAGGTCTGCTGAAGCCGCGCAGCTGTCGTGCAGTGAGGAGTTCTCGTCTTTAATAAACTACGGCAGCTTGTGTTCACTGAACAGTAAGAATGATTAATAAATCCATATGAAACAGCCCCTTAAAAGTCACATATCGCTTTCAGTTTCGGGCTTTGGCGCATTTTGCACTCACACACAAGCGTACCGTGCCAAAGCCCAAGTTAACCGCACTCAGGCACACCTCTTTCAACCGGGCCAGGGCCGGCCAAGTGAACCGTGCTTGAGCCCTATTCAGAGCATTCACTTCTCAAACGATCCGGGACACGGGCCTGGGCACGGTACGGATGGCATAGTGTGAGTAGGCCCATAGTCCCTCCAGCGTGTCCTGGGTCTTCCCCGAGGCCTCCTCCCGGTGGATGACCCAAAAGCGAGGCCATGGTAAAAGATGAGACCCAGGTGGTTTTAGTAAACAATTACTGATGTGTTTATTTTCACCATTCATTATAAGATTAAAACAATTTAGCTACAAAACTTAGAAGAAACAAATTATATGTTTGATATTTGAACCTATCGGTTTACTGTTTTACTAGGCTTGATTGGTGAAAATGGTCAGGAATGTTGGAGCATCAATGCCTTTTTAGCTTGTCAGTGCCAGACACAAACTAGAGTGTGAATTGTGAATTGTGGAGTGGCTAAATCTGCAAAACGTCTGTATTTTTTAGTAAGTACAGTAGACGTCAGAATTATTCAACCCCCTGAATTATTATATTTTAAAAAGCCGATATTTATACTAACAGATCGTATCGTTTGAAATATTCCTATATTGATACTCTGATAAAAAGTTGATATTATAACAACACCAGTGTGACGGGTTATCAAATTGTAATCAAGTGATCAGCGTAGAAGTGTCTTGTGCAAGTTACTGATTCAATTGAACATGTTTTCAAACTGGAATCATGACACTGAGAAATAACAGTATGTGAACATGTCAACACTCATTAGTCACTAAAAGAGAAAACTCAAGCTTGTTCACAGAGAGAGCTGGAGATTGGTCAGTTTCACTGCGGTCAGTGAGTGTCCAGTTTTCTCCAGTTATGATCAATACAGCAGCGAAGACGACTGTCAGATTAACAACCTCACTGTTGTTCAGCCTCATTATTAAAGAGTAATGAATAAACACAAACCTATTAGTTCTTCAGTCTCTTCCTGTTTAATTCTGCAGGGTTCTGGATCACTCATCTTCACACTGTCCTTCAATAAACTCTGTCTTTGTCTTTCACTGGTGGCGGCAGAGCTTCAGGAGAACAAACAGAGAAATCTGATTCATTTACACTGATTGAGGAAATGAACATGATGTTATATCTTGGGATACAATATGTGATTTGCTCAAGTCAGGTGACGCCAATAAAAATCACCTTGAATAAGTACATCTGAATATTGACTATAGACTAGGTTAGGCAGCAGAAAAGCTCATTCTTTACTGTTTGCAGGATAAACTCTTTATTATTGTAACTAATAAAATAAAAAAATTGCTTTCATATCAAAATATAGTTAAGTATTTATACCAATAAAGCAATTAGATTGCTAGCACTCACATGTATATGTATGGTTTAACAACATAACTGGACTGAAGCAGTTTTAATTGACTAAAACGTCTATGTAAAGCTGCTTTGATATTATCTACATTGTGAAAGCGCTGTAGAAACAAAGATGAACTGAACTGAAAACAAAAACTGGAAAATCAGACAACCATTGGAAAATTAAGTGCACCACTAACTATTTATTTGATATATTCTGGATGAAACTTATTATATCTGCCCCATTATTTCCCTTCACAGATCATACTTGACGATATTACAAATACAAACACTGTAAAACCCAAACACATTCACTCATATTGTCCTCTCAGAGCTGCTCTCCGCCTGCTGTATTGTTTTGGTCGGCAGACACACAGATAGAGGTGAACTCAATGCAGAAACTAGTCGCAGATTGTCGCTTTAATAAACTGTAAAGTGTGTTTTATTGTTGTGTAAACACGAGAAAAAGCGAAAACGACTCACCTCAGCTCTGAAGACTCGACGCTGAATGAACGCGTCAGCGCTGACGTCATCACGGCGAGGCGGGAGCAACGGAAAATCGTCAAAAACGCGCCAAACAAAAATACTGCTGACAAGCCAAAACAATCGATAACGCATGTTAAAAAATACCTTAATCATGTGGGGTGAAACTTTCAATAAGGCACTTAAGACGTTGTTAAAATGCGCTCTAACTAAAAAAGCAAATGTACAGGCATATACTTAATGGGTGACAGACATTGAACTTAACTTATCTATTCCTTAAGAAACTAAAATGCTTTTAATAAAACGTAAGAAAGCTATTATTTATTCATCTATCAAGAAAAATGACAAAAATATCATTAGATTTATGTTAATGTAAAACGATCACGTATAAATGTCAGTAAACAATTATATACACTTTACACACATATATATTATGAAGAACAGGCAAGAGTCAGGCTGCACTATGGTCAGCAGTATCTTCATAAAACTGTTTTATTAAAATAAACGATCAACAAATGAATCTGTCATGACGGCCTCTACAAGTAAAGGCATTATTGACACACAATATCAATTCCCAATAACAACTCAGAATAAGTTGAGACATTATAAAAAACACAAATTAAAAAATGTTTTTCATTGCAGTCAATACAACAAACATTATTTACTGTTCCTCATGACTTATTCATTTTTAAATAAACATTTTTTTTCATTTTTGGTTCTAGCAACATGTTTAAAAAAAGTTGTATCAGTAAAGCATTTACCACTTTGTAATGTTGCCGCTCCTTTTCACAACACTGAAAAGACGCTTCTGGACTGAAGACACCAAGTGATGAAGTGATTCAGGTGTAATTTTGTCCAATTCTTCCTGCAAACTAGTCTTAAGGTGGGCAACAGTACAAGGTTTTCCTTGTCACATGCCGCACATTCTCTATTGGAGACAGGTTAGGATTGCATGCAGACCAGTCAATTACCTATTTTCTCTTGGAGTGGAGAACATGAGTCTGATTCCAGCGACGCTCCAGGGACAGACGAGTCTTCGCTGAGGCTATCTTCCAGCCTAAACCACGACGAATGAAGTTCTGCACAAGACTTTTGGCCAGCGGAGAAATTAAAATGGTCGTGCCCAACTGAGTCTGGTTCTCTCAAGGTTTTTTTTCTTCACTCCCATCAGGTGAAGTTTTTTTTCCCTCTCCGCTGTCGCCACTGCCTCGCATGGTTCAGGATTGGTAGAGCTACGCATCGATGAATTTGCTCTTCAGTGTTTGAACTCTCAGTAATGATTAAATCACACTGAACTGAGCTAAACTGAACTGAACTTAAACACTAAAACCTGAACCACACTGTTCCAGTTACTATGACCATTTATGTGAAGCTGCTTTGACACAATCTACATTGTAAAAGCGCTGTACAAATAAAGCTGAATTGAATTGAATTGAATTCCGGGATCTTGTTATTTATATATATATATATATATATAATTGTGTGTATATATTAATATATAATTAATTTTTGTTTACATAGCAGCTTTTTAAATAGAACACCATATTTAACGATATATGCATTGTTTGCGTTCGTTTAATGAACAGTTTTCACAACAGACTGGGTCTTTGGACCAATCACCACAGATTAGCATCACACAATAGATGGGTTTGAAAAAAATGCATCCACGCATTCACATCAGCCTGTTGTTGGAGACCCCAAAACCACAACAGGACCTTTTATAATGTATAACAGGGGCTGATTAACTGAGAAATCTAAAGTTTGTGAACGGAGTACAGTTTGGAGGAAAGGAAACTTCATTGAGCCTTTTTTAGTTTGTGATTGTTCCCTCGCTGTGGATCTGCACATGTTTATTAAAGTTTGATAATCGTGTGAAACTTCTCCCACACTGAGTACATGTGAACGGTTTCTCTCCAGTGTGGCTCCTCTCATGTTTTTTCAGGTGTCCTGAATGTCTGAATGTTTTGATGCAGCGTGAACACTTGTAAGGTATCTCTCGAGTGTGGATCATCTTGTGTCGGTTCAAGGTTCCAGCTGTAATAAAAGTCTTCTCACACTCAAAGCAGACAAACTCTCTCACCCCAGAGTGGATCTTCTGATGGTCTTTTAAATGAGATAGCAATGTAAAACTCTTTCCACACTCAGAGCACGGATAAGGCCTCTGGTTTAAATGTAGTCTAAGATGGATCTTCAGCTCTGAAGCCCTCAAAAATGTTTTGCTGCACTGATCACACTTGTGTGTTTTCTCTCCAGTGTGGAGCAGCATGTGTGATTTCAGGTTTCCTGAATGATTGAACCTCTTGTCGCAGTGGGAACACTTGTAGGGTTTCTCTCCGGTGTGGATCATCATGTGACGCTTGAGAGTCATTTTGAGGCTGAAACTCTTTCCACACCGAGTGCAGGTGAAACATTTCACAGCTGTTCTTTCAGTCTCTGATTGAGTGTCTTCTTCCCTCTTGACATGATGTTTCTCCTCATCTCCACTCAGTTTTTCACTCTCCTCCTTCACCATCACATCTGAAAAATAAGTCACATGTTAAGAGTCTAGTTTTTCTCCGTACAGTCAATTGATCATGAATAAGAGCATTTGTGCTTGGCTGAGATGTGTAAGTGGTCAAATATGTTTGCACTCGGACTTTTAAACACTCAACAAAAAAAAGATGAGGCCCCTTCATAGACATGACTCATTTAAGGTTGTACTCCATAGACTACAGTCTAACAGTTACAGGTGTAACTGTTTGCTGTCACTTTGTATATTATGTATATAAGTTTATGTTTTTAAAGATATTTTTTGTTGTTGAAAAAATAGGTTATGTATTATTTGTGAATTTATTTGGTTTGGGACTTTTATTTTAAAATCTGTGGCTGTATGAAATGGCTGACTGGCCATTAGCTTATCACTTCCTGTGAGCTAGCAATCGGCAAGCATGAGTTGTTTGCATGTGCTCTTCAATGGATGTATCAACTAGTGATGTGACGTTGTGCGCCGAGGCTTCGAAGCATGTATCAAAAAAACGATACATCTCGCGGAGAAGCAGTGTACCGGAGCTCGATTTGTTTTGCCATCATCAGGTGATCAGTGACGTCCGAAGCTTCATTCGCCTATACCAGGGGTTTTCAAAGTATAAGGCGCGCCTTCCCTGGGGGGCGCCAGAGCATGTCAGGGGAGGCGCGGGAAAAATATTATATAATAAAAATATAATAATTAAGTTTAATTATTATATGTATTTTTTATTATATTTAAACGTTTTAATTAAACAAAGCTAAAAAAAATAATACGTCAAAAATAAGAAAACCTTTATTACCCAGAAGCCCATAGCTGTGAATTCGCTTCTGTTTGGCAAGCCCGCCAATAAAGGTATATGCCTGCTAATACAATGGATCGGTTTCTGAGACCCCCCCC